ATGAGTTTCGCCTGCAGAAGGAAAATCTTTTAGCTCGGAGAGTGGGGAGGGACCATTTTTGGAAATGATAAATAATGAATGAACTTTTCTATCAACTAAAGGTAGTCTAGTTCACCATCCTTACGGGAGCAAACTTGTAAGATAATTACAGTTAGGATATCAGGAGATTGAAACATTGACTGATCCATGATTGCAACAAACACATAGGCCTTGCAGACAGTATCTTTTTCTTTCCAGCCTCAAGTCATATTAAATCTAAGCCACCCCCAGGCATATGGTTTTCAATCCAATGCTTAAGTATCTTCCAAGAAAGAGATTCCATAAATTCCCCTTATAACTAACCAATCCCCATAATCAGCAAGTTCTTTTCTATGTGACCTAAATCCTTAGTGCTACCATTTAAACTCATTTCCTCATGTTCTGCCCTCAAGAGAGATAAAGAACAGCTGTCTGCTCTTCTTTATAATAATCCTCTTTGGGTGATATTTGCAAACATTCTCCTCTGGGCTAAATAATTGAGATTCCTCTCACCTTTCTTTAAAATTCTTCTGTTGTTGTTGTTTCCCCATGGAGCCTCTCTATGTTATTCACATCTTTCTGAGATGAAGTTTCTTCCCCAGGATGTGCCATACTGAAAGACACAGAGATAAGAATCCAGCTGTAAAGTAGACTCCCAAAGAGGCGGCAGGAACTCAGATCAGGACAACTCCCATGCCAAGCTAAAGAACTAAAACAGATTATCCCTTAAGAAATATATTTTTCACGGGTGCCTGGGTGGCTCATTCAGTTACGCGTCCAACTTCAGCTCAGGTCATGATCTCAAGGTTCATGGGTTCGAGCCCCATGTCGGGTTCTGTGCAGACAGCTCAGAGCCTGGAGCCTGTTTCAGATTCTGTGTCTTCCTCTCTCTCTGCCCCTCCTCTGCTCATGCTCTGTTTCTCTCTCTCTCTCTCTCCAAAATAAACATTTAAAAAATTTTTAGAAAGGAAATATATTTTTCTGTTTCTGAAAGCATATCTGGCAGTATCTTGGCTCAGCCATAGGCGAATATGTGAACTGGGTGGAATTAGTTCTAACACACCCTCCTCCAAAGGCCTCCTCCTCTACTGTCCTTCCTCCCCACATCTCTCTTCCTCAGTGGGGTTTGAAATTTTAGGAGCAAAGTGTGAAGACCCAACACATTTCTCCTGATGGCCAACTATGATGTTCATGAGCAAGGATCCTTCCTTCAACTCCTGACATTTGCTAAGTGGACTTATTCTGCTCAACTCTGAGGTCCTCCCTGCCCATCTTCTCCGGAAATAGGGTGGTTGTATTTGTCACCCAAGGGATGTGTTAGAGTCAATGCTCTAAGAAATCAGAGGTCACTGCAATAGATAGCAGAAAACCAAAGGGCCCATCTCAGAAAACCCAGGGGAACTCCACTGGCTTTTTTTTTTATGTTTTTGTTTTTTTTTTCTTGAAAGAGAGAGAGCAAGAGAGAGCGAGCAGGGGAAGGTCAGAGAGAGAGGGAGACACAGAATCCACAACAGGGTCCAGGCTCTGAACTAGCTGTCAGCACACAGCCGGATGCGGGGTCCGAACCCACGAACTGTGAGATCATGACCTGAGCCAAAGTCGGACGCTCAACCGACTGAGCCACCCAGGTGGCCCTCTGTTGGCTTTTTAAGCAAAAGCATCTGCACATGAAACTTTGTTTCTCAGGGTGACTGTTTCTGTCACACCACTTCCATCTGACAACAGAAAATCCTTGTAAAAGCTTTTAACAACTTGGCTATATTGAGAAATCTCATGGGGTGCCTGAGTGGCTCAGTAGGTTGTGTCCAACTTCAGCTCAGGTCATCTCACAGTTCGTGAGTTTGAGCCCCGCGTCGGGCTCTGTGCTGACAGCTCGGAACCTGGAGCCTTCTTCGGATTCTGTGTCTCCCTCTCTCTGCCCCTCCCCCACTCATGCTCTGTCTCTGTCTCTCAAAATAAACATTTAAAAAATGTATTTAAAAAAGAAATCTCATACATGTGAAAATAGTCACCACAGTAGAAGCAGCTTTTTTTTTTCATATTTCTAAAAACGGTATTTTCAGTATTTCTGAGTAGATTCTCAAAGATTCTCCTTGACTTGGCACATTATTATTGGCTCAAAGTCAATAGATTGGCTTATTTTTTTCTATTTTTTTCCCGAAATAAAGCTGACACACAGTGTCACATTAGTTTAGGTGTCCAGCATAGTGATTCCACAACTCTGTACCAAAAGTATAGCTACTTCGAAGTCAGTGGATTATTAGGTGAAGTTGACTTGTTCCCCATAGTGAAATGCATCCTGCAGTCTTGAGTAGAGAGGGCTTCTTTGTTTTGCTTTGCTTGAGTTTTCATTTTATTTTATTTTATTTTTTCCTTAAATAGTTTATTGTCAAGTTGGTTTACATATAACACCCACTGCTCATCCCAACAAGTGCCCTCCTCCATGCCCATCACCCCCCTTCCCCTCTGCCCCACCTCCATCAACCCTCAGTTTGTTCTCAGCATTCAAGGGTCTCTCATGGAGAGGGAGGGAGGCAAACCATGAGTTTTCATTTTAGACTGTGTTTTGCGTTAGCACAAGAGTTTCCACAACCGGAAGTTGAAAGACCTTTTTAATGGGCACTGATTAAAATAAACTGGCATGGCAACAAATTACATTTGGCAGATAGACATCAGAAAGCAAGTATTCATGCTTCCTGGGCAGGGAGTAGTACTGGCACTTTTCCTGACTCTGAATAATCAAGCTCATATCCAATTCTGGATGAGACACACTTGCTCACTGTCAATAAATGAGGCCAGGTCACCTTACTTTAGCTGCTATCACACTGAACAAATGAAGTCCAGTTGAGCCAAAAAGGGAAGGTGGAGTGTTAATTCCTCCTGTTTTTCTGATGTAGCCTCTATTTAAATGGGGAAAAGTGTTGTAAAAGGCCCCATTAGACCTTCTAATTGATAACATAATGATGCAGCTGAGTGTGGATCAACATGTGGGTTTAAGGAGCTGAATTTTTTAAAGTATGTCACAAGTTGTTCAGGTCCCTGGAGGCTTTTGGGGTTTTTTTGTTTTGTTTTGGGGTTTCCATTTTGCTTTGCTTTTTGACATCCGAATAGCTAAGAGGTTTGATTTCCTTCTAGAAATAAGCTCCCACTCTGGGGAAAGTGAATTTCTGGCAGAAAGTCACTGTCATGGAGGCAGACTCCCCCGTCTTTAATTACATACATACATGAAGGGTAGAGGATAATGCTAGGGAGGGTCCAAAATATAGATTGCCTAAAAAATCAAGAGGAATGAAAATACAGTTTCTCTGCCTCTGAGGAATATTGACACACACACACACACACACACACACACCCCATCCCACAATCCCAGAAGAAAAGATAATCAGAGGAAATACAGCACAGGCCAAATAATGCAGCAAGCATATAAATGCCCTGAGGTTGATGCAAAAATGTGTGCTGTAGTTGTGTGGTTTGTAAAATGGGTGACAGGGAAAGCTGTAACCAGACGCGAAGGCATGAGCCAGTTCTACATTTGCAGAACTGCTTTTTTGGCAGAGTCCTCTGAGGGGCCCGAGAAGGGGAATGGAAGTAACGGGCTGAGATCCCGTCCTTGAAGCGTGAAGCCTTTGCTCTGTGCGTTTTGTTTTAATGAAGCGGCTGGAGGGTTGCTTATCTCTCTGGCTGAGAGCTGTGTATTTCAGCGGGACAGGAAAGAGGAGGCTCATTCATAAACAGACCTGGCCCTCTGGGGCTTCCCACATTAGAAGGGGGCGACTGCTGACCAGAAGTTTAATAAGTTTATGCTCTGACTTTTCAGAGAAAATGCAGTGTTTTTCACTGGAGAGCCCTGACCCCTTTTCCCCTACCCAGAGCCATTTTTGAGGGCTGCCCTGAGACCAGTTTTGCTGAAGAAAAGACTTCGCTCTCGGCCCTTTTGCAGAGCTAAATGCAAACCATGTGTGTGTGTGACCCAGGGTTCCCTCTCCAGAGCACTGCACATTTGGCACAAGGAATGGGCTTAGCTAAAATTCAGTGGGATGTATAATGAAAAGTGGGATGCGTAATGTGTTAGGAGATATTCTCGCTGCGCCCCCAGCAAGCTGCAGGATGGAGGAGTTTGCTCTCTGGCAACCACAGCTCCTCGTGTGCCGACAGCTAAACTCCTTCCCCAGAAGGTTTCCCGAAGAGCAGGCTTGTCCTGCCCCCATGCCTCTGCTGGGGCGTGTTCATGGGACACACAGCGCTTGTTCTGCTGAGGCAAAATCTAGGCTCACCACCACCCTTTTGAACAAGTATATTCAGAAAAAAGCCCCCGAACTGCCAGGCCTCTCTCACTATAGTTTAAAGGTCTTACCCTCTTGGGGCACCTGGGTGGCTCAGTCAGTTGAGTGTGGGACTTCAGCTCAAGTCATCATCTCACAGTGTGTAGGTTCAAGTTCTCCATCCGGCTCTGTGCTAACAGCTCAAAGCCTGGAGCCTGCTTCGGATTCTCTCTCTCTGCCCTTCCCCTGCTCGTGTTCTCTGTCTGTCTCTCTGGCTCTCAAAAATAAATAAATGTTAAAAAAAATTCTAATAAAAAAGTAAATAAAGGTCTCATCCTCCAAACCCGACAGTAGTTTTATGATAAGAGATAGGCAGTGTGTCCTGAACACTGGGGCTGGTCATTTGGATCCCATGGAACCGATGGTGGCAGTTTCTTCATACGTCCTCAGCACTGAAATCCTGGAGATTTATCATCATCTGGCAGGGTCTTAGCCACTGACGCCACCAGTCAGCTTGCAAACAGTTCTCTTTTCACTGAGCAAAACAAAACAGCACACCAACAAACAGAACCACTCTGTGTGGAAGGCCTGGTCCACCTGCCTCCGCCCACGGCGAGAGAAACGTCAGATAATACGGCAGAGGGGGCGATCACCGGCCGTGTCAGGGATGCGCCCACGTAACACGCGTGTTTCTCGTTCCCTTTTCTTCACTCCCCGCAGGGCAGACGGCGGGAAGGCAGCAGGTGCCCACCTCGGCGCCGGCCTCGGAGAACAGCAGCGCGGCGCACAGCATCGGCAGCACGCAGAGCACGCCCTGCTCCAGCAGCAGCGCCGCCTAGCTCGCCGCCCGCGCGCTCACCGCGGTGCCCTTGCCAAGAGAGAGCGGATTCCGATATACAGGCCACCTGTCGTATTCCAACCCCGCCCCGGGCCCATACAGATGTGACCCCTGGGCCTCTGTAACACGCTAGAACTCCTGTGAGAAAGCCGAGGTGGCGGCCTTCTCCACCAGCCCCGCACGGGCTTGGGGGGTTTCAATGTGAAACACATGCCAGTTTTCAAAATGCTGCTTTGTCCAGGTAAGACTGTCCATAATTTGGGGCCCTGAGATTTACCCCGACTCAAGGAGTTGGTAAGAGGATAATAACCAGACAGTAGGACCAGTGAGGAGCTATGGCCAAAGAGTCTCGTATAACTGAACCGAGGTGTTTAACGAAAGAAATACCGCAAGATTTTCTCAGTGTGTTCCTCCATGTCTAATTTGCACCTTCTGGACGCACACTTCTCACTCTGCTGACACACCCTCTGGGGGCTGATGTTGTCCGCTTGATGGGTGCCGCCCTCAGGGACCGCAGCCTGACACACGTCACGGCCACATTCCTTTCTCGTGCCCTGGGCCCAAACCAGCGCTGATCACCTTATCCGCTGCCCCGTCCCACACTCACGCACTGACTACAAAAATGTCTTAGTGCAAATTTTGTGTTTCTTCATAAGCATGTAGAAATTGAAAATGGCCAAAATCTGGGACTGCAGATTTGTGCCCATTTATGACACTGTATTCTGAAAAAAATTATAAATTGGGGCAAATTTAGTTTTAAAGTTGGAAAGGAATTTGCACAGCAGTATATATACAAGTACAGGTCACCTGGCACATTTGTTTTCTCCATTGAAAAAGAAAACTCTGAAAAAAAATGAAAAAGAAAATTATTTTTCAAAGGAATTTTGAAATTCCCTTCTTAAAATACCCTGTGCCTTCAGAGTTGCAACCAAAGTGTATTTGGGAGAATTAGTGTTTCCACTCAAAACATGTCAACCTTTTTAATAGACCCTCTTGTGAAAACGAAGCTCTTGTTCGTGCAAATGCACGGCACATCCTGTCGGTTTCCGGTTGGTTACCTGAACAGTGTCACCGATTCTGCCAAGAAAGTGCTGAGATCTAGAAAAGGGCACTCATGTGGACTGCTTTAGTTCTCTTGCCTTAAATGTATTCCAACCTCAAAAAAGGATTTGAGATGGATTTCATTAAAATGGAATAATATGATGCCACTTTGCAGCTAAAATAAGCTCAACTGATTGTGTTAAAAGAGAAGGCCAAGGAAAGTTGCCATGCCAATTCATTTACTACTGAGGATAGATTCATTGCAAAGAAATCTTCATCTTGTTCCAGAATTCTCCCCCAAAAGACTCCTAATTGTACTGAAAGAACAGGCTAGCTTCTACCCCCAAAACATTCATAGACGAATCTCACAGCCCTTAAAATCAGGAAGTTATGCCTCATTCTCTGAATGGAACCGTAAATAGAAAATGTTGATAATACTCAAGACCTGAGGACGGTGTCTATCAGCCCACAAGTAGGTGGAGTTACTGATAGTCATTGATATGATACTGATCTGTCGTATTAGCCACTGATACAAAAGACCGTATCACCCGATCATAGAATAATACTCTAATTTGCTAAGTATATATATCCAACCTGTATAATATTAACCAGACTTGAGGACTAAGATTTCCAAGCTATCTACATTGGTTTATTGAAAATTTTTAGATTTCCACATACAAATGAAGATAAGAGATTAGAGAATTTATTTCCTTCAGTTAACTTTTTAACATAAGGGTATCAGAGTGGAGGACCTAGATTATGCTACCTGTGTTTGAAAATAATGCGCTTTGCCTAACCTTCAGCAGAATGTATTGTTTTAGCATATTCTATGTATAAAAAAGTTTAAAGATGTCTTCAAAGAAGACTAGAGTCTTTAAGTCACATATAGCTATATTTTACTACAAAAATGTGTGTATAAAGATATATTTAAGTGTTTTAGATAAATTTAAATTACTCCATATGAAACGTTTAATTTCAGTTACTGTGAATTCTTTTGATCAGTTCTTTGCTGTTTAAAAAACTCTTTCCATCCTGTTAAAAATAAAATCAGCTATTAAGAGGTATTAAAAGATCCAAGTCTTTAGATGGACAGGGTTAAAACTTTTTGTGATGATTATATTTAAATGTATATTTTTGAAAGAGTTGCTGCATTGCCAATGATTTTATAAATAATTTAAAATTAATTTACAAATTTATGGATGCAAACCAAAAGATTTTAAAAGAAAGAGAAGGATAATCACCCTTTAATTGTTTAGGTCTTACTATCTGAAGTACTATTCAGATCAAGAAATCTGTTGATAATAAACCTGATCCCATGTTCATTGGAGAGTGAACGTCATTAATTAGTTCAGAAATGTCTCTAAAAAATGTTTCTTAAAAAAAGTGTTCTCTCCCCAGCTTCATATTATAGCATTTCTAATCACTCCATACTTCACAGTTTCAATACAAAGTACAAGCTCTAGTTTATAACACGTTCTGCAAGTTTCTTTAAAACTGTTGTTATATTCCAGTTAAATGCTTCTGTCTACAAAGTCTTTTGTTACTTCTGCCGGCTACACTCTAATTCACAGAGACCATTTTGTTTTGTTTGTTTGATCAAGCCAAAGCTATTGTTGAAATGCTCCAAGTTTGCACGGCAGAGTGTCTGTGGGATACCTTATAACTTTTCACCGTGTGGCGTTCACCAGCAGTTCCTCTGTTATTTCTAAAGTCAGAGGTGTCTTCTCTGAGCTGCTTCTATATCATTGTCTACACAAACAAACAAAAATGGTCTTTTCCTTGTCTGTGATAAGATTGTAAACCCATTTTCTGTGTGTGTTCTGTGGTGAGCGTGATTGTGTGTGGGGGCGCGCACATGCGTGCTGGTCATTTCGTACAGTAACTACCTCATGGTGTGAGTGATGGTTGTACTGCCGGTTGTGGTAACAGAGCACATTTGGTTGGGCAAATTGTGTGTGTGTGACCTTTCTCCTGTTTGTGTTATCTGGGGGGGGGTTGTTCATGAAACTGACAGATGTTTTTCTTAAAAGGACTATTACCAATTTCCAAATACAGTGCTTCTCTTTTCTGGTTTTTCCTGAGTGAGCCTGATTTTGTTGCTGTTTTTCATCTATCAGGGTAAAAAGAGTGCCCTTAAAATCCCTGTGGCCAGTTTGAACACCCCTGTTGTATTCTTTTCTCTGTTCAATGTGTTGGCAGTTTTATGAACATGCTTAGATGTATAGTTTTGATAACCACAGTTTTAAGTCCTTTATCTGTGCATAATAAAGAAGATATATATCAACTTATTAATGCGTGTCTTGTTTGATCATCATTCAATTCTACCCTCAAGATGATACAACTTTTTCCTTGTGACTTCCTCCTAAGTTTAGCATCTGCTCCAACTGTGTTGGCAAGGGGTCGGGAGGGAAAAGGCTAAGAGAAAACCCCAGCTCAGTAGAGCAAGAGGGAAGGAATGGACAGACCGGAGGAAGCGGGCAGCAGGAGCTGTCTCTGTTCTTGGGAAAATGTGGTGTGAGACCCAGAAGTGGATGTCGGCCCCTGAATCCATTCTTGGCCTTTCTCTCCATCTCCTAGAGCCAAGGAGTGGGAAATAATATGTATTTGGATCTCCAAATACCCAAGTGCTGCTGCCAGCGTTCTCTATGGATATGGTACTACCACCACCACCATTTAGCTGCCTAAGCCAGAAATCTGGAAATCTAACTTGACTCCTCTCTGGCTTCCCACCAATTAGTAAGACCAAGGTTATTCAACCTCTGGAGTATCTCTTTCTCCAAACCACCTGCTTATAATTCTACTCCTGTTGCTGTTACCCAGAATCCAAGGCCCATTATCTCTTAAACTGGATTACTGCAACAGCCTAACTGGTATGCGGACTTCCAGATTTGCTTCCCCCTAAATTCTTTCTCCACTGTGCAACCAAAAGAAATGAAAACAGGCTCAAATCATGTCACTTTCCCATTAAAGCCTTTAAGTAGTTCCCTGACTTGCTTTCAGAATAAAGTTCAACCTCCTAAGTATAGCTTAAGGAGAATAATCTGCCTACCTTCCCAGCAACTTCCTTCACCTTTTGGAACCTCAATTTCTATGTGGCATACCCCCCCCCCCAGCTAGACATTTATATTATGAAAACAACAGCTTGGTTTTTTTATTATTGAGGATTAAATTATGATATTGAATATATATTTACAAACTGCTCTCACGTGTCCCAACCTTCTCCCCACTTTTTGAGAATTAGTGAAATTAGGTGGTTAGAAACAGACCCAAATGGTATTAAGGCCAGTATCCGCCTCTCCCTAACACCTGGCACCGTTGGGTGTCCACACAGCAGGAGCAGTGTGAGGGGCTTAAGTAGCATTTCACTCCAGGGAGAATGAAGTCCTCATTACAGAAGAGAGTCCAGCCACTTTTCAGGACCAAGATTGTGTCCTGAAGCCAGTGCTTCTCAGAGGATGGCAAAATTGGCAGACAAATAATTTTTCTGCCATTAAACTGGGGAGCAGAAACCTAGGCAATCCATAGATGAGCTTCTGAGATTCTATTAACTACCTGAAATTGTATGTAAAATTTTGCATTGATGTGTCTGGGCTTTTTGTTGTTCTGGGGTTTGTTTCTTGTTTTTTGTGTTTTGTATGTTGGGGGGTTTTTTTGGTCCATAGCCTTTTTATAGTTGCAGCCTCTAAAATTTTTTCTTGCACACACAATTAATATACATGTATGAAATGAATTCAAATAATACACGGAGCAGTGAAAAAGCCCCCATAATCCTCACACTTAAAGGTAATCATACTGATTTATCATGTGTATTTCCAGGCCTTTCCTTAGGTTCATATCAACATGTACATGTCACTATAATGCATAAGATCATATCAGAGAATCTGTGACTTGCTTTTTTCACATGGCATATCTTCCTACCAGGTTTTGTGTGTGCTGATCATCACTTTTTTTTTTTTTTTTTACTAGACTTTCCTTAAGTTGCCAAAGTAACTACATGGTCATTGTAGGTGATAAAATAAAGTTATTTGTGAATGCTCTTTCCCAGGCACCTCTCTGGAGGAAGTGATGTTAACAGCCTTTTTTTTTTCCCCCAAAGTTTATTTATTTATTTATATACTTATTTGAGAGATAATGAGAGTTAGCAAGCACGAGCAGGGGAGGGGCAGAAAGAGAAGAAGAGAGAGAGAATCCCAAGCAGACTCCACACTGTCAGTGCAGAGCCTGATGTGGGGCTCAAATACACAAACCATGAGATCATGACCTCAGCAGAAATTAAGAGTAAGATGCTTAACCAACTGAGCCACCCAGCTGCTCAAAGAGCCTTTTTTTTTCTAGCTTAAACATACAAAATATGTTCACAGGATTTTTTGTTTTGTGTATAAAAATGGGATTACAATATACGACTCTGAAACTTGCCTTTCTCACTGAACGTCATCCACCCTTTAGGTTAATAGAGAACAAATTCATCGTTTTTAATGGCTATATAATATTTCATACAATTAGCCAATTCACTGGTCATTGACACTTAGAAGTGTTATTCTTAGGGTTTTGCTAAGATACCCTGCTGCTGTTAATATCTTTGTATATATGTCCTTAAATTCTAGTGCTGTAGAGCTGACAAAGTAACAGTGTCACATCAGTAGGTTTTAACATAATACTTTCAGAAGTTAATAAATCACAAAGATCTGGATATGGAAGATTTGACCAATGCAATTAAGTTTGTTAAACGGCCATATACACAGAATCCTGCACCCCAAATTTGAGAATTTTGTAGGTACAGAATATTTACAAAAATTGACTACTACTAGACCATAATTGAATTCTTAGTAAATATCACAGAACATAATTATAGTGGTCAAGTTTTTTAACCACAACCCAAGTAGTTTAGAAACCAATAAGAAAAGGATAATTTAAAAATACTCAATACAGGGGCACCTGTGTGGCTTAGTTAAGCATCTTACTCTTAATTTCTGCTAAGGTCACAATCTCACAAGTTTGAGTCCCAGGTTGGGCTCTGCGCTGTCAGTGCAGAGCCTGCTTGGGATTCTCTCTCTCTCTCTCTCTCTCTCTCTGCCCTTCTCTCACTTGCACAAACTCTCTCAAAATTAAACTTAAAATACTCAATACATTTGGAAATGTGTTAACTCCTAACTCCTAAATAATTCACGACTCAGAGTAGTACTCTTAATAGAAATTAGGAAATATGTAGATTTGAAAAAGAATAAAAGTACTAAATTCAAATATGCAGTTAAAGCAGTAATTTAGGAGCAATTTATACCTGTAAAATGCTTATATTGGAAAAAAATGTTAAAAATGGAAGCATATCCAGTATAGCAAAGAAACTTTTAAAAAAGCTCTCCAAAAACTAGTAGTTACTTTAAAAGATTACTAGTGGGGCGCCTGGGTGGCTCAGTCAGTTAAGCAACCAACTTTGGCTCAGGTCATGATCTCACAGTTTGTGGGTTCAAGCCCCACGTCAGGCTCTGTGCTGACAGCTCAGAGCCTGGAGCCTGCTTCAGATTCTGTGTCTCCCTCTCTCTCTCTCTCTGCCCCTTCCCTGCTTGCACTCTGTCTCTCTCTGTCTCTCAAAAATAAATAAACATTAAAAAAAAAAAAAACCAGTACTGAAAGGGGTGCATCTAAATAAATAAGTAAATAAAAGATTACTAGAGATACATAAAAATTAAGAAAAATAAGTACATGCATTAGGAATGAAAAGAGGACAAAACAATATTCTGCAGATATTTTAATAAATAAGGAATCACCACAAACAACTTCATTTTAGTAAATTTGAACACTTCCTGGTGATGTGCTGTCGGGGCCCCTGTTCTATTGAGGGAACAGAAACCGCACTGAGTATTTCAATACAGAAAAATTAACGTAAGGAATTGGTTAAGCAGTTGTCAAGGGGCTGAAAAGGTAAAAAGAGGACACTGAGTTAATAAATGTAGGAAGACTTACATCCCTGGGGCTGAGGATTGTTGGAACTTGCAGTTGGCAGGGGTTTGCTTAGTTCCAGTATAAGGAAGAAAGGGGTAGATTGGGCACTGGGAAAGCACAGCTTAGAGGATGGCATAAATGATTTCCTGGAAAAACTAATTTGCCAAAACCCATTCAAGAAGCAACAGAAAATAGGAAATACATTTAACCACTAAGAAAATCAATGGTTTAAAATCTACTTACAACAAAACAATAAAATTAAACACCACCACCAACAACAGAACACTACCAAGCTCAGATGGTTTTACAGATAACTTCTACCGAGTAGTCAAAGAATCAGTCATACCAGATCATGGTGATTCTTTTATTTGGGGAATGGCAGGTCAAAGGGAATGAGTTTTTAAATATTCATACCTATTACCACATTACTTTCTCTAACGGTTGTAGCAAATCACACTGCCACAGCCTTCCCATCAGCACCAGGCATGTTTAAACAGAGCGTGGGCTCTGGGCATCAGACTGCCTGGGTCTGGATCTTGGACCTGCCATTTGCTAGCTGAGCTTTTCCCTTAATTTAAGAGAAATCTATTTCTTGGCATCATCATGAATATTAGGTGATATAAATCCACATAGAGTATTCAGGATATGCTAATCACTTTAATAAATATCATCTATTATGTTACCAGCATTTACATATTTTGAATTTTGCCAATCTGATAGTTGAAAAATCGCGTCATATTATTTGAATTCATATTATCTCCATTGTCAGTGAGTTTGTTTTGTTTTAAAGTTTGCTTATTTATTTTGAGAGAGATAGAGACATCATGAGCAGGGGAGGGACAGAGAGGGAGAGAGGGAGAGAAAGAGAGTCCCAAGCAGGCTCTGCTCTGCCTGCTGTGGCCGAACCCAATGTGAGGCTTGACCTCATGAACCTTGAGATCGTGACCTGAGCCAAAACCAAGAGCCATTTGTTCAACAGACTAAGCCACCCAAGTGCCCCCTGCCCGCCTTTTTAAAAGTAAGCTCTGGGGCGCCTGGGTGGCTTAGTCGGGTAAGCGTCCGACTTTCACTTAGGTCATGATCTCGCGGTTCGTGGGTTCGAGCCCCGCGTCGGGCTCTGTGCTGACTGCCAGCTCAGAGCCTGGAGCCTGTTTCAGAGTCTGTGTCTCCCTCTCTCTCTGACCCTCCCCTGTTCATGCTGTCTATCTCCCTCTCTCCTAGAAATAAATAAAAATTAAAAAAAAAAAAATAAAAGTAAGCTCTACACCTAATGTGGGGCTTGAACTCACAACCTCAAGATCAAGAGGCATGTCTACCAACTGATCCAGGTAGGTACCCCATTGCTAGT